TTTTTTTTTTTTTTTTTTTTTTTTTTTTTTTTTTTTTGGCAACCATGTATTTCTTCTTTAGCATAGACTTTTTCCCTTTTCTTTTTTTTGGGGGATGGCGGGGTGGGGTGGGGGGTTCTTTATTATATAGATGTTTCCTTTCAGTTGTGAGCCACTCAAAAAGGTGGAGAATATTTGTTGCTTTTTGGTGATTGGGGAAAAGGAGGTGCTAATGATGCAAACGCTAATGATGCAAACTCCTCCATGTGAAATATTCATCTTCATTGGAGCTTTTTGACAGTTGTTGATCTCTTTTGTAGGGACGTCGTGGTCGACAAATTTCAAGGCCTCTCAGGTCCCCATAATCCTACTTATGCACATTAGGATAAATAGTTAGCCACACATAGCCTACTCCGGAGGTTGAAGAGGTAGCCACTTGCACTCCGATTATCAAATTAGTTGATGATATAAATATTTGAATGTGAGACGTGCTTTAGCCGTAAGCCACTTATGAAAAAGGGGTTCGTCTTTGGGACAATGTATTATGTATGAGCAAATATAGAGAGCAAAGTTTTAGGTTGAAAGTCTAAATTTGCATCATATTGGAATGTCACAAAAGTGTGAGCTTTTTATAATAGAAGGGAATGAGTAATAACCATTGGATGCAAAGACACGTGGCTTCATCCACATGGTCGGGCCTCTTATCATGGGTGTCAATCAATCAAACACATTTAATGTTCAAACTTTTTTCTGCTCTAAACCTGATGCATAGGAATCAGACTTGAGCTTACCTTGTTCATGAGGGTTTGACCTTCATATGGGTTCGGCCCCTTTACATGGATTTGGCCTCTTCATGGGGATTCAACCAAATTGCCACATGAGCAAAATTACATGGAGTACGGACCCAGGTTCACTTGCTGTGTGGCTACCACATGGTCATACTTGGACTCTCGCTGGAAGAGGCGTAAGAGTAGTAGTCATGACCAATAGTCATCAACTATTAATTCGTTGGTAAGGTGAGAGCTTCAAGCCCAATTATTCTGGTGGCGCATCCCCCGCCCAAGCACCGCTCATTGTCATTATCTTATGTGCACTTTATTTCCCGATTTTGTTTAGAATTGTGCTATTTATCAAGACATGATCAACATAAGTCTAGATGGTAATTAAGTAACATTAACTGATATATCATTTGAAAATATACGGATACAAGTCTCATTTATGATGGCAAGTTCATGAATGACACTGAATTGCCACATAATGAGTCTAGATAAATATTATTGCTCATTTGTTCATATGTACCATAGTAGCTACATGAACATTACAATGGACTAGCGTTTGTATCGTAGAGGTCTTGGCTTCAAGACCAATCGAAGCCTTTTTGTAAGTTTTGAAAGAATTTGGTCAACTTGCTCAATTGCAAATCAAGTCCAACCCAGTACTCAGGCCTGTATAGGGATTGGTTCACCAGTTCTCAATTCAAGTTCAAAATCCAGTCCAAGTTCAATAACTACATGTTGCTCATTCATTTAAGAGAGAGTGATACGCAAGTAAGTGAAAGAAGGCGAGAAATTCAGGCGATTTATTGTGGGATTTTACTTTTTATTTCCAACCATGAGAATCATGTCATATTATTCCAAGCTTGGACGATCAATAAGAAACACTTCGTTTGTACTGAAGAAGGTGTCAAGGAAAAGAGAAAATGGAAGAATATTTTGGCTTGTAAGAAGGGATAAGTACTTGTTCTTTCCTTGACTCAGTTACCTGTATTCTTGTCTTGTTCATATTGTCTTACTATTTACTTATAAATAGATGTAGACAATTGAACTCTTTAATTTACTTCTACACCATTTCACAGTCCCTTGTAAAATTGTTTTTCACTTTCTTTGATTACACCTTCCCCTTCTATGTTAACGCCACACGAACATATTCTTCCTCTTGAAGCATAATGACCAGCCAGAAAATGGTGACAGCGACAATGAGATTGCATCCACAATAAGAGAAATAAAAGTGGATCTTGACAAGGCGAAAGAAGTGTTTACTCGACTGGAAGAGTTGGAAGATGCAATCGTTGAAACGTTCGTGTCTTTGGAAAACAACATTATTCATGACAGAACCGAAGAGGCAAGCAAAAATCTCAGGGCCTTAATCAGAACGAGCAAAGAAATCAACAAGATCAAGTTTGATCATTTTCCAAAAACAGAAGCAAATACACCATTTTGTCATCCATTATGAGAATAAAAAGATGTCAGAAAATTGGTTGAGTTTGCAAATTGTAGAAAACCTTCTTTCTCCTATGATGTCTAAACTTCAGCAGGATTATGATATTCTGCCTCTAAACTTTAGGTTTTATTTGTTGACTACTGCAGTTTCCCTGACAAATTTATTGGCGTATTAGTGAGGGCTGTGTCACCAAATTTACACTATAACTGCTTGGGAAATGGTCAAAAATTCTTTGGGGAACTAACTACCATCTCTGTATTATGAGTCCATGGATCCGTCATCCATATAACGTTTGATATCCATGGCTGACAGTCCAACTTCTTCAATTTAGCCCTATAGGGAACATAACCATGAATTATGTTCACTCTGCTTGGCTCATTCTGGTCTTGGAATGATAATATTAGAGAAGACTGATCACCATATTCAATGCACACGAGAAATATCTGAGTCTTTCGAGGAAGATTTCTTTTCGAAGATTTGCGAATCTGAAGGTTCTTCTACTTGGAAGGTGGCACGTTTTTCCTCATCATCAGATTGAGATAGAAAACTGCAAGAGTTAGATAAAGACACAAAAGCAATTAACACATCTTAGCCTAAGTGAGATTACCAGTCTTCCCGACTCTTTGGCTGAGTGCGTGCATAAATCTGGACCTCAATACGCAATAATTTGAGAAAGCTTAACATATTTCAGCATGTTCGAATGTTACTTCCATGCCCAGTAACTTCACCTGCTCCAGGTTTTCAAGGCCAAGAATTATGGAATCTCTGAATATCATGAGTTGTAAAATCTCAACTTTCCATGATCCGGAATTAGTAGGCCGTCTTGGAGACAAAGTATCCCTCCTTTTATGTACAACTTTTTCAAATTTTCTGGGAAAGCAAATTATTAGTTGTAGTTTCTCTAATCTGGGCATGTTCATCGAATTATTTGCCTACATTTTGTTTCACATTCCTCCTTGTTAAAGCAAGGACTCAAAGGAAGAGAGGAAAAACGAAATGTATGCAAATAATTCGATGAGCATGCCCTGATTAGAGAAACTACAACTCATAAGTTGCTTTCCCAGAATATTTGAAAAAGCTGTGCATAAAAGGAAGGACACATTGTGTTGGATATTGGTTAAATAAATTGAGAATTGAAAATCGATTAAAGTTCGTATCGAATTCGGCCAAATACTCAAAAGCTCGACTCAATCCGTTTAGGCAAAATTGTTTGCCACTTCGCCGCTTCGGGGCGCACAAACGGGGATCGACCTGCCCGGTCAGGTCGCGAGGGTCGAGGGGGCAGCGCCCCTCGTGGGGGGTCGGGGGCAACGCCCCCGAAAGAGAATTTTGATTTCTCTGCATGTATTGAAGGGTATATTTGGCATTTCGAAAATCAATATCGGATGAATGAGAAATTACGAAAAAGACCTCAACCATTAGTGAATATACACCTTTTCATAAAGGTGCATTGTTTGGAAATGGTGCATGGTTTGGTCTCAACCATTTCGTCCACACCTCTTCATGGTCTATAAATAGGACCCTTTGGGTGTCCTATTTCTCACAGTTTGATATGCAAAAAACGTCTCTCATCCTCTCTTCTATCCAAAATCAAAATCATTTCATTTATTTTGATTTTCTTTCATTTCATCTGTGGAGTACATAAGCCTGCATTGGGTTCGTTGTACTTGTGTTTTGGAGTGCTACAAACACAAGTGTAGCCGTTGTATCTTGGGAGTCGATTGCCGAAATCCGTAGGCACCGTTGCGGGGCAAATTCGACTTAAGGACAAAGAGTCCAACTCTTGCCTCGGCTTTGTCACCATCATTATACTTATTTCGGCGTCACTATTCACAAAATTCTTCCAACACATTGTCTCCAAGATTGCCTACTAATTCCGGATCATGGAAAGTTGAGATTTTATTCAGCAATAGTTTCCCATTCTCTTATACTTGGAGAAGCTCAATTGACATTCCTCATCGGCTATGATAATAAAAATATCAATGTGGAGAATCGAGGATGGATGGCAGACTCTCAGTAATATCAAGCAATTGGGGAATCCTCAAACTCAACACCGATGCTTGGCTGTGATTCAAATCGGTTAATGTTTTATCTTCAAATGATTTAGTATCTCTAATATTGTTCATTTGCTTAGGGAAGTAGGATGTCGCACATACAACATTGATCCTCGTATTGGGAATAAAGTGGTCCACAATTTCGCTTCATTTGCTATTCCTCTTCCTGTGCAATATTCATCTACAAAATTCTGCTTCTTTTCTTTTGCAACTAAACATCCACAAAAATAGAGTATTTATCCATAAAAAAGAAAAGAAAATACATGTAATTAGAAAGCGAACACGTAGCCTAGCCAAAGGCACAAATTTCTATATCTAATATTACCTCGTCATTATCATGTAACCTGCAAAATATTTAGTCCGGCTCATGGTCATCTACAAGTTTCATATGCTTTATATTAAGCTAGCCCTACTTAGAAATTGTACTTAACTATCAGCAATCCTAACACCATGGCCTGATTTCCTTAATAAGCTAACCCTATTTACAAATTGAACTTTCTTTCGTTTCCTTCCTGCAACGCTAGAAGTACCAGGTATTGTAAATTTGATGTCAACAGTTCCAACTTTTTCGAGCTTCTCTTCATTATCAAGCTTCTGGTGCAACCTCCAAAACGCTGGCTTTGTTCCACAAAGGTGTCGAAAGAAATAATAGGGGTCAATATTAGAGGAGAGTGAAGACACGATGCCTTTGATCTTGACTGGCCGGAGAAGCTCAATGAACTCCTGTATCTCAGCAAAGCACATGTGATCAGAGTAGGGAGCCGTGTATATATATTCATGAGATCTTTCAACGCTTCTTAGATCTCGATTTGGTTCACGTGTCTCTGAACTAGAGGATCCAAACACATTCTCATTTGCTTTAACGGCTTTCATAGACCATGGAAGCCCAGATGGCCTAATTCCTATGGTTGGGCGGAGGGTATTGAGGCATTCTAAAGTTTCAACACTAAAACTATAACGAGGAACAGCGCGAACTCTGGTCAGAGCGGTTTTGGTTGTGAAGATGTCAGGGAATCCAAGAAGATGCATAACTTGCAAGCGTTCGGGCCACACCCAGATCTGTAGTAAGACCAAAAGTGAGCTGACAGCTTATTGGCGGCATATATAGGTTAAGGATCACATTCCACACAGTATCTTATACGAGACGACATTTATATAATACATAAAAGATGAAAAAGCAAATGACTATTACCTTTGAGGAATAATAACAAAGGAATTCTTACTCGTAGCAAATCCCCCCATATAGAGTAGAAATGAAGGTGCGATCAAATAAAATTAAATAAGTAATGATCAAATAGGCAGATGAAAAATACAGATCACTGTATCAGATTTGAAATCCAGTTGAACTATTTCTAAAATTTTATTTATTCTTTTGCTACAAAATAGATAACAACTCTCATGTCTATCTTTACAGGTCCTTTATTTTTAGGGAAAATGTTGTGTCTCCACGTGAGAGGGGTGTAAGTACACACAGCACAACCCTATTTTTAGGAGATGAGTCAGCATCAAATCAAATTGTGTGGACATTAGACAATTTGGTTCTCAAAATAGTACCTTTATGTTAAGTGTGCGAGATATATAGAGCAGAAGATCTTCTTTGCCCAATGAGTCAATTCCGATAATTATATCATGTTCTGGATGAGCAGTGATGATATCAACAATCTGCAATTAGCCATCATAAGTTTCACAAATGAATCAACCATTCTCAATAAGTCAAAACCTAGATTTATATTTTACAACACGGTTTAAAAACCATAATCTCGTGTCATCTCGTGAAGTCTACAAATTTTAGATCAGCTTTAGTTCTATGAAAATAGTAACATGCACCTGATCAATGGAATATGCTGCTTATTTGTTGTCATTTTTCTTATTGAAATTATGATTAGCTATGAATCTTAATACAGGAGAAAAAATATCATCATTTAAATTTTAAATTACTGGGTCAGGCATAGACTAGGGAGCAAAGAGGAAACGAGAATCCTGTTATAAACTGGTCAACTAGAAGTAGAAAACTGACAGCTGTTCTCTTGAAACGCATGGCCCAATCTCATTATGTTCTTTATTTCAGCTGGTTCGTACTTTCATGGGCACAAAATGCAACGTGGAAGGGATGAATGTAACCCAAGACTTTCATAACCCCAATTAATAATTTTCTGGGTCCAGTGTGAGGTTCTATATTGGCGAGGACAATACTTCGCATATTTCTTTTAGAAGATAACCAGTTCCCAATCCCCATATGCAGATTTATGCTTGTGGATGATCACAAAAATACAGAATAAATACTGTGATGCGGACATCTATTTATTATTTATTTTCTATTTGGACTATTAGTTATATTTTAGTGGAAATTACACAATAACAGGTATTTAAAGATCACTTTTAAAAATTCAGGTGCAAAATTTAATTAATCAAAAATCAGGTATTATAATTAAACCACCACACCTCATACACTTCAAACCCTAGATCTATTTCCCCTTTCTTTCTCAACATTTCCCTTCTCTATATCGCGTCTTTTCTCCTGCAACACGCTATTTCCAATGACATGGCACCATTAGCGTTGAGGTGCGGCATCGAATGGGCAGTTGTTGAGGAGCGCCAGCCGCCGGAGACACCAACAGTGGCGTCGCCTCACCCCTGCAACCAAGAGAATCACAGTGTGCGATC